AAAGTGTAGTTTCAATATTTTAACTTTGATGGTAAGTTATATGAACAAACGCAAGGATTAGCGATGGGATCTTGCCTGTCGCCCATCTTAGCGAACAATTATATGACGAAATTGGAGGAACGCTTTCCACAAGAGGCAATACTAACACCAAAATTGTGGGTTAGATACATGGATAACTATTTTGTCATCTGGCCTCATGGTAAGGAGAATTTAGATAGTTTCTTATTTTCACTAAACCAGCGTGAAAGGACATTAGTTTCACGATGGAGATGGAAGAGAATAAGTCCCTACCTTTTCTGGATGTTCTCATACGAAATGAAGGTCGCTCTAACAATGTTATCTCAGGAGATTCATCGAAACCCAGTTTCTCTTCGTATCTATAAGTCAAGTTAATTGGCTGCGGACTTTAACACCGAGAAAGTGCTGTCGAAAGGTTTGAATTTTGCTTTACCAAACAGAAATGAGAATAGGAATGAGCTTCTGATAGAACGCATAATTTTTGCCGACAATCTTCCGGAAGAGACTAGGAGCGATATTGAATTACATGTCGTTCCTTTAATTGAATGCCATGTAGAAATAACACCCGTGAACAAGAGAGTGCAAAACATCATAAAGAAACTGGACGATGAGAACCAAATGGTGCTGAAGGCAGACAAAGGAGTAGCAGTGGTAGCTATGGATAGGTTTAGCTATGTAGAAAAAATGAATCAGGCTTTCGATGACACTACCACATACAAGGTACTCAGTAGGGACCCAACGGAAACCCTTAAGTCTAGATTCAGAGGTTGCCTGCAGCATGGTGTAACAAACTGGGAATATGAACACGCTTCGTCAAGGAGATGCTAGGCTTCAGGTTGCATATGGTTTCGCAAAATTAAATAAAGATGGAGTGCCACTTAGAATTATTGTTAATAATATGGGAAGCGTGATGCATGATGCGTCACGATTTATTTGTAACCAGTTGAAGCAAATCTCTGAGATATGGAAGGTTTTAGTCAGCAATTCCTATCAATTTGTCAACTTAGTCGACGAGCGGGAGATAGAAAGTGGGCAGCTGCTGGTAAGTTTGGATGTTGAGTCTATGTAAACTAACATTCCTGTAGATGATCCCATACAGGCCTTGCTATCCACATTAGACCAACATGAGGAGATTTTAATGAGCACAAAGTCAAGTAAAAGATCACTAATTACACTGACCAACCTAGCGGTATACTGTACATATTTTACCTTTAATGGCAAACGGTATGAATAAACACGAGGTTTAGCTATGGTCTCGTGTTTGTCACCAATTTTAA